GGCGGCGGGTATAATTTCGATGACATTGGAGATAAATTGACCTATGGGAAAAGCTCCGGTTAAGATTCCGGGTCGGGTACTTTTTTACTGGATTATTAAAACATCTCTGTTTATTGTTTATTTTCAATCAAAATACACTTTCCTTTTTTGTCTTATTATTTCTTTAATTGCTTCAACATTCTTTACATAGCTCACAATTTATGAAGAATAAACACAAAAATAGTTACGATTATTACATAAAAATTTTTTAAATCATGGTCACTTAATTGTTTTTAAATCGAAGATACCAATTTCTCGAAGCTCTCAAAGACATTTCTCATCAGTGGTCGTTTATCTGGGATCTTCTGTACACAAGCTAAACCGATCTTGATCACTTGAACCATACTTTCTTCCATTTCTTTATCTCGAGCTAAAACCGGGTCAAGAACATACCAAACCGGTTTATTTCTCTCACTAGCCGATTCAACCCACATAACCAAATCCGTCTCTGAACTATTCGTCTGCATAACCGGAGATTTACCGGTTACCAGTTCGAGTACCACTAAACCGAATGAATAGACGTCCCATTTCTGAGACGGTTTGGTCATCTTGGAAGCTTCAGGAGCCGGGTAATACGATTCTCTAGAGATGATTGGTGAGCTTGTCTCCATCGGAGAGATTTGATCCGATCTTATCTCTGAAGCAGACATGTCGACGATACGCCCAAGACCGAAACCTGAAATTTTCGGTTCAAGTTTCGGTCCGAGAAGTATGTTGCTGGAGTTTATATGTCCATGGACGTATTTTTTGGAACTGAACTCGTGAATGTAAGTCAGTCCTTTTGCAATTCCTCTCAATATTCTTAACCGGACCGGCCAAAACAGTTGCTTGCAGGACAAGCTACCAGGTCTACCTGTCACAACTTGCTTAAATTAGACTTGAATATAAGTTCTTAACTTAAAATCTCGTCTTAAGTAACACTCATGGATTTATGTGATTTGATTATAACCTTACCTTGAATTGCAGAACCAAGGTCGCCGTTCGGTATGTAATCATAGATCAGGAGTTTTTCTTCTGGAGACCAGCAACAAGCTTGGAGATTCAAGACATTCGGGTGCTTGATTTTCGCCATTGCTTCGACATCAGCAAGAAACTCTTTTAGCCTTAGCCAACCTCTATCTTCCAGTCTTCTAACGGCTAGCATTAACCCGTTTTCAAGAACAACCTTGTACACAATCCCGATCCTGCTCTTTCCGAGGAGAAAAGCCGAGGCTTTCAGAAGCTGATCGAGGTTAAATTCGATTTCCGGGTCCATTGGTATGAAAACCTGTTGAGCTTTGTTCTCATCTAACGCTTCAGGGTCTGAGTTCCCACTCTTGAAACAGAGAAACTCTTGCTTTGTCTTCTTCAGTTCCTCCTCGAAATGACATTTTCGGTTATTCTGATCTTTGTCTGCACGAGCTGATGCTTTTCGGTGATAGTAGATGATTAATGAAGCAAGAAAAACGATTCCGGAGACTGTGCCTACGGTGGCTGTAAGGATGATGCATAATCTAGAATGATGGTTGGCTTTTCTTGAATATAGTTGAGAAGGAACTATATCTGTGTTTCTTGTGTTGCAAGAAACCTTTATGGGTAATCCACAGAGGAAAGGATTCCCTTGGAAAGCATTTGGACCGGCATTCAACAGAACGTTGGATTTCGGTATTGGACCGCTGAGATTGTTGTAAGAAACATCGACATACAGAAGCTCCGGGAGATCTCCAAGACTTGTTGGAATCATACCTGAGAAGAAGTTATGAGAAAGATCAAGAATACCTTTCAGATTCCTCAAACTTCCTAAATCTTCGGGGATCGTTCCAGTCAAGTGATTAAAAGAAAGGTTTAGCGTCCGCAGATGAACCAAATTAGAACCAAACCCTGTTGGAAGATCTCCAGAGAAACCATTGTTGCTAAGAACAAGCGTTTTCAGCTTCTTGCATCGAATAACCGACAAAGGGATCGAACCGTTGAAAGAATTCTCCGAAAGATCCAAAGTCATCAGACTCTTCAACCTCCCTACCTCTTGTGGAACCAACCCGGAAAACGAATTCCCCGAAAGCACCAAGCTTTGAAGCCCGCTTGGTCCAAAGAGTTCCAAAGGTAACTTCCCTTGAAACTCATTGTCTCTGAGGTTAATGTGACGAAGGGACAAGAGTTTTCCAATGGAAGGATGAAGGGAACCCGAAAGACGTTTGTTGGGAAGACGAATCGAGACAACTCTCATATCATCATTACATGTAATGCCTTGCCAAAAACAAGGGTTTGAATCTGAGGAGTTCCAATTGGTGAAAACAGAGTCTTTCTGGTTTTGTAGTGATTGCTTAAAGGAGAGAAGAGCAAGACCTTGATCGTTTAGAGAAGCAGCCATGGAAATGAAATGGGTCAGAATGAAGCAGAGAATGAGAAACAATTGAGCCATCTCTAGAGAGAAACAATGATGAGAATTGAGTAAAATTTGGCTCCTAAATATCTCACTAACAAAAACGTAACAAGCTTTTTAATCAATAGTGTTGCTATACCTGGCCTGGTCTAGTTTCTAAGTCAACAGTTTTGTAATTTTGTTTT